GGTGTATATAATAAACCGGCCACTCGGTGTATATAATAAACCGGCCACTCGGTGTATATAATAAACCGGCCACTCGGTGTATATAATAATCCGGCCACTCGGTGTATATAATAATCCGGCCACTCGGTGTATATAATAATCCGGCCACTCGGTGTATATAATAATCCGGCCACTCGGTGTATAAGTGTGCGTGAAGCATAGGACACCACCTTGCGAGATAAAACTTTATACTTTCTTATGCTTTGTGATCATTTTATACTTGGTGTCCCTCGTTGTTAGATGCCCAGATCTTCTTGATGCAGCAGAAGATTGAGCGCCTGAAGGTGCTGAGTGAGAAGCAGGCCGAGCAGCAGGAGCCCAGAGAGGTGGAGGAGCTGAGAGAGAAGAATGAAAGGTAATCTGAATACAGAGAATCTACCCAGAGTTCACTTATGTCAGTGCTACAGGACAAATGCTGCGCGTTTCCAATACGATCCCCTTAACAAAATCTTAACATGGCCGGAAATCTGGGAGGTCTGAGTCATAGCAAAATGTGTGAAACGTGCATCCCTCGGCTCCCTTCTAATTAATGGGGCTGTGCTTTGCCCCTGAAGTCTAGATTGTGCAGCACATAAAGCAAATATGCATATTGGAGATTCTGGGGGTGCCGGAAGTCATAGCGCCTTTTTGTTCCTTAGAGAATAGCTGTGACTTCTCTATACCTATTACGGTGTGTCAGGTTTGCCAGGGAAACATTCTTGTACATTCAGATCAGATCTCAGCCGTTCTTGCCACAATATACACTATATTACCAAAAGTATTGGGCCCCTCCCCCTCCAAATCATCAGTCAGGTGTTCGGTGACATTTCCCGGCTACTAAACATTCCGCGGTCACCTGTTACTGGTATTACAACAAAGTGGAAGCAACTGGGAACAACAGCAACTCAGCCAGGAAGTGGTAGGCCACGTCACATGACAGAGCGGGGTCAGCGCATGCTGAAGCGCACAGTGCGCAGAAGTCGCCAACTGTCTGCAGAGCCAATAGCTACAGACCTCCAAACTCCATGTGGCCTTCAGATTGGCGCAACAACAGTGCGTAGAGAGCTTCATGGAATGGGTTTCCATGGCCGAGCAGCTGCATCCAAACCGCACATCACCGAGTGCAATGCAAAGCGCGGGATGCCGCGGTGTAACGCACGCCGCCACTGGACTCTAGAGAAGTGGAGGCGTGTTCTCCGGAGTGACCAATCACGCTTCTCTCTCTGGCAATCCGATGGATTCATGTGCGTGTAAAGGCGCCCCAATACTTTTGGTAATATAGTGTATCATTTACATCATGTAAACATCGAATGTGCTTAGGGCCGAGTCTGAAGTTTTTCTTTATATTTCCCAATATATTTTATTAGTCTTATGATTCGCCTCCGCGACGCTCTCAAACAGTGTCAGGACATGAAGACCGACCGAAACCAGCTGGAACGCAAGAATGATCAGCTGTCTGAAGAGAACGGAGATCTGTCCTACAAGGTATCTGCTATTTGCCAATAATTTCCTAGTCCCCAGCTATAAGGACCATAGAAATACAGCCTGCCTG